ACAGATGGGAATTTTGTCTCCTCTTTCTAACCATACTTGGCCTTTGGAAAAGACATTATGGAGCTGAGAGTGAGAGTCACAGAGAGGAAATTGAGAACCACCTTGGTGGCAGAGAATCAACACACCGGGGAGATGAGAAATCCACGGGATTTCCTGTTGGGAAAGCCAAGTTCGAAGGCTCATCTAACGGCCTGACAACACCAGACCCTCTTCTTCTACCCCCCCAAAAAAGGAAGAGTAAAAAACTAACAATAGGAAAAGTGAAGCCGATCTGTGGCTGAAGTGTTAAAAGATGTCCAATTCCTTCCTTCAAGGGTCTCGGAAGAATGAGATGATGAAGAAATATACACAGACGTCATAAGACCTGTGTTAAGGCCCCCGAGGCAGAGATGCCCTGGGGGAATTCATCAATTCTTGCCCTCCTTCCAGGGGAGTCTCTGTCTTTTCTGGACAAGGAATCCCACTTCCAACTTTTTCAGTTAGACCATTGAATTTTCCCAGACCCATCAAACCACACTGAAAGCCTCTTCCTTGGGGATCTATTAATAATAAGTCCTACGGCCCGTACCCGATGCAAACATACATGAATGCTCTGGTGTGTTGTAAGTTACTTTCTACATACAAATTCCTGTTAAATTGTAAATTAGAAAACACTACTTTAATTCTCCCTGGTCTTGAGGTAGCTTTCAGCTGCGCTACAAGTTACAGACATGTAATGAATACTAACTAATATTCTTTTTCTGCAGCTAAACCAACTCACAGTCCCTATTTTTTAAATATATGAGTTACAGCTGTTTTCCTGATCCGATCGCAATTACTTTCGAGAAACCTATGTCAGGATGGAAATCCTTAGTATCGGGGTTCTTATTTTGATTTCTGTTTCTAAATTAAAACCACTAGCAATATGAGTAATGCAGAACTTAACATTTCCTCCAGAAAAGTCACTGGAAAAGGGTGCAAATCAAAGTAAAATCAGTTTACGTTATTTGGGGGTTGAAAGAGATGTTGGGTTATTAAGCAGACATTCACCCGTGGGTAGATCTCAGGGATGGAGAAAACCTAACTTCTGAAGACAGAAAAATGGTACCTATGGTATACATTCTCCCGAACATTGCTTCTAGTTACATTCTTAATAGTAAAAGAGGTTAAAAGATGTTCAGGGCTTTAAAATTATGAAGCAGGCCCTGCAAATACATAATCTCTTTGCAGATTCTAAGTTTGGTGACTATTTAAATGGGTGGCGAATCAGAGAGACTAGGGCAGGCCTTATTCCCCCCAGTTTGGCAACTACATAGAGAAGTTTAAGTGACTTTCCTAGTGTCATCCAATCAGCAGAGGCTAAACGAAGATTAGAATCCACCTACCCAACTCCAAGTACCACAGTCTCCTTATGAAGGTTGTCAAAGGCGTACAGTAGATTAGGAATATCAACACTCCTCTACTAGTAGTAATGCTAACACTTAACCAAATGCGTACTGTCTGCTAGGAAACTCTGGTACAGATGCATCAACTCGATCTTCATAAGTCATGTCAGGGAACAATCATTCATGTCATGTTCTATCTCCCATTTCAGAGATGAGGAAACGGAGGCCCATGGATGTTAAGAAACTTGCCCAAGGTTCCAGAGCTCAATACATGGGAGAGAGATCCAATACTGTCCTCCCTGTGCCGAAACGCTAATAGAGACATTCCTAAATCCACGTTTGGATTATCAGCAGTCCCAGGTACCCCAGATACATTAATTTTAACAAAACCTCTTCACTGTGAGATCCAAACTACTCATGCCTCCAAAAATATGTGATGAAATGGAAATAGTCTTTTTGTCAAACTCTGTATTCTTAGTCAAAACACAAAGCATCAATAATTCTAGTCGATCAGGCAAACCCCCTTTAAAATCTCTTTCCTGGTAAAGAGGCGCACAGCAGGAAATAGTTCAGGCTCTGAAGACATCCCGAAAGACATTATGTGTCACACCAACTTTAGGAGAACGTACCAGGAAACTAAATAATGCTGTCTATTTTCTCCACTTTATCACCTTTGCTAATATTACAATCCAAAAATGATAAATACATATTAATCCAGTTCAGATATAAACATTGCCTGTGGTTTGCGCCACCACCAAAGCCAGATCATGACCCATCACCTCACATATTTGAATTTGTGTCATTTCTTGAGATGCTCCAAGATCTGCCTCAGGACCAACATCACTTCCTCATTCATCACAGCTGTAGTCTGTGTTAGCTAAACTCTATGTCCTAAACAGACTGGAATCAGCTCAGATGGTAGAGGAAGTCGGTTGTTGTCATCATCAGCAATTATCAATCCAGGGATCTCGAAAGTCTTGCTCACTCCAGAATAGCTTGAAATGTCTGTGTCTTTTGAAGATTTTTCAATCTTAAATTACTGAAACAAATTTATCTTAACTTGCATGTTGAGCTTCTCTGCCAATCGAAGGGTATTCCTCAACTCCTGCATCCAGTCTTTAAGAACTAGACTATGAAGCCGGAAATGTGTGTGTGCTCTCTCTCTCTCTCTCCTGTCCTTTACCCGGAAATGCTATTATCAACACCCTACATTACCCCGAGATCAGTTTTTATACTGTAATTTCACAGGACTGTTTATTGTCTTGCCCTTTACCATCTCCTCACACATAAAAAAAAAATTGACATACACTAATAAAGCTGGATATAAACTGGATCTGCAGATTATAACCTCCAATTACCATATCACCACCACCCCTGCCCCCCCAAATCAGACTGTACACACGTATCCCAGAGTCAGACTTGCTAGGTTCAAATTAGGATGCTGCATCGTACTATTTGTGATGATTCTAGAGCAATGACTTAACCTTTCTGAGCCTGAGTTTTCTGATCTGCTAAATGAGACCCATTAGAGTATTTTGAGGATTAAATGAGATAATAAATACAAAGGATTTAGAATAGTGCCTGGCATATACCAAACCTCTGTAAGTTGACCACCTAAGGGGCTGTAACAAACTGGTCAACATACAGAGTTGGCTCATATAAGGAACTAGGCCTACTGTACTGATACATACCCATGACACATGTCCCATCTATGAAAATTTCATTGACTTAAAGAAGTAGTCAATGTATGGTAATGTTCAACTATAACAGTTCTGCTATATTAAGTACTTAATATTTCAAAATCATTGTCAAAGTGATTTTAAACAGAAATGTACTTCCTGTACCCACTCATCAGTCCTTCTGCACATCAACTAGGAAAGCTAGAAAAAAAGTTACAGCAAACATCTCAATTTTCTATTTTACAGAGAGAAAACCAAACTGTTGAAGGAAGTGGCTAATCAGAATTCTCCCTGCTTGGCTTTTTCCAGCTCTAGTCACAGCTCCTAGGAAGACCTGGACTGGATGAGTAAAGGTTAGTTCTGCTCATCACAGAACCCTCAAACAAACAAGAAATCTAGAATCCTCTAATATTACTGATCATCTGCTCTAATAATCCCATTTTAAAAATGAAAAAACTGGCTCTAGAGGGCTGACTTGCTCAAGTTCAAATAAATAATAGTGGCAGAGCCAATGCCAGAAAAATGATAATTATTATCCTAAGCAAACCACCAGATGCTCTAAGTCCACTGCAAATTTATTTAGTCCTATAATATCTATGTAGTCCTCATAATAACCCTGGAAACTAGGTATTATTTTCACCATCTTTTTTTTTTTAGGGACAGTGTCTCACTTTGCTGCCCTCGGTAGAGTACTATGGCATCACAGCTCACAGCAACCTCTAGCTCTTGGGCTTAGGCAATTCTCTTGCCTTAGCCTCCCAAGTAGCTAGGACCACAGGTCCCTGCCACAAAGCTCAGCTATTTTTTTGTTGCAGTTTGGCCGGGGCTGGGTTTGAACCTGCTACCCTCAGTATGTGGGGCCAGTGCCCTACTCACTGAGCCACAGGCGCTGCCCTATTTTCACTATCTTAAAGATGCAAAAACTGAGGCTGTGAAGCAACTTCTTTAAAATCCAACAATGGATAGAGTTAAGATCAAAATGCTTTCTGTCTGGCCCCAGAGGGGATGTGCCTGTTTCAAGGCTTCTAGAGCTCAGTTCTGAAAATTCCAGCACTAGCTCTCAACCAATAACTTCCAAACTGCCTGTGTATCAGCCTCATGGGGGGAGCTTTGAAAAAAATACAGATTGCTGGGCTCAGGAAGGAGGGTCAGGGCGTCTGGGGCAGAGTTTCACTATCTGTCTACAGAGCTCATTCTGATGTGTAGAGAAATTTGAGGAAACTCTTATCTTAGAGAAAGATATTTTATGGCTGCTTCCAGTGCAAAATCAGGGGGAAATAAGTTACCTAAGGCCGATGGAATGTTCAGAGAGGCTGAATCTGTGTGAAGGGTAACTAACATAGTGACTTTCTCTCAAATCCTCTGTGTCACCCAGATACATACGCAGCCCCAGTCACATAAACGTACACAGTTGGCCCTCTGTCTTTGTGGGTTCACCTCCATAGATTCAACCAACCACAGACAGAAAATATTAAAAAATACAATTGCATCTGTATTGAACATGTACAGACTTTTTTTCTTGTCCTTATTCCCTAAACAATACAGCATAACCCCTATTCATGCAGTGTTTACATTGTATTAGGCCTAACATAAAGTGTATGGGGGGCTGTGTGGAGGTTATATTCAAATTATATTCCACTTTGTATCAGGAACTTGAGCATCTTCAAATTGTGGTATCGGGGGAGGTCCTAGAATCAATACCCCAGAAATACTGAGGGACCCATGTACGTATTACCAAAGCTCCAGGCTCACGGACCCACCTAAAGGAATCCATATCACAATGAAAACAACAGATGCTTCTATTTGTAGCAGACCAGAATGTGTGTTTTGTTGAAATGCCAGCAATACAGTTACCTTCCATCCTAGTCACTTTCATTTAAAACCTCTATGTCTGAATCAAGCATCCTCAGTACTGAGCTGAAAAATGGGGGAGAAAGCTGTTCGAGTCATCACTTACCAAGGTGCACCGTATATCCTGAATCCCTTCACTGTTACCTCCGAATCTTGCAAGTAAATACTGTTTGTCAGGAGGGACTGAACATTGTCAAAGTCCTCTGGTTTCAATTTAGACACAGAGGGGAAACGGTAGTAGTCCTGTTTAACAAGGTCTGCCATGAATTCCTTATCAAACGTCAGTTCATGATTCCCAGCAATCACTATTTTATATTCATATGGCAGGTTTCCTGAAATAAGAGAGAGAGAGAAAAAAAAAGCACCAATTAGCACGTTCATTTCCCATCACAAAGTACAACGGCCGAGACGGCGTGATTAGCAGACAGCTCACCCCAATGAAATAGCTCCCACATTCCTTTACATTTCCATGTGAACCAAAATTTATGACTACTCCTTTATGTTAAGGAAAATGACAATACACAATAGACAGAATGTCTACTAAGAAGCTAAAGGCTACTAAGAAGACATGACATTTCCTAGCTCCATTTCCCTCATGGTAATGAATCCCCACTTCATAATCGGCCAGTAAAAATCACTTTGATCACGATCCTTAAGATCTGGACTTGGTTTGGTCCCCCCCAAAATAAACCAGCGAACTATTCTTAACTACTCAGACAACCGCTAGATATTCAGTACATCTTCCCACAAAAGACACAACTCAGCATCCCACGATTTATATCAGTGAAAGGAACCACACGCTACGATTTCATATGGCAAGGCTAATTTTAAGTTTACCTTTTGGTTTGTGAATAGAAAGAACACTATTAAGGGCCCCCTGATTAGAAAGCTAACTTTTCTCCCATTGGGATGGGAAAAGAAACTGGAAAGCTTAACCCCCTTTTAATATTTATGGTATGGAAATGCGAGTTCTCAGTGTGTGCCTTTTATGCAAAAGTTTCCCGATCAAAATGAGATAATTCTGGGAAGAAGAATGAAAGCTATAAAGGAAAACCCAAACACCAGACTTCTGCATAGATTTATAATGTTTGAATAACGTACAGATCATACATATTAATAACTCACTGTGATGCTGTAAGAACCAAAATCCGAAGGGAGATAGTGCCAGGCAGCTGTCCCCATCCTGAAATTAATGCTCTTTTCTCTACTTTCTCCCTACCCCTTCCTCCAGCCTCACTGTCGGGCTGTTGCTCATTTTATTTTATTTTAAAGGAAAAAAAGGGTGGGGGACAATGACACCTATAATTCCAGCTTCCTGAGACTCCTGGGTCCAATGCAAAATTAATGTTTCCTGCCATTCCAGGAAGAATTAAAGTTACCACTAGCAGGAAATTGGATATACTTGTTGTAAGAATTGCTCCTTAAAAGCAAGCCAGAGGCTCAATGATTTAATTAAGGGGAAGAGAATTTTTGGGGGAGGGAGAGGAAATTGGGGGGGGAGGCAAGTGCTGTCACCAGTCCACTTGGATTTCAGCAACTGTAAAGATTCTACTCCGATGACCACGTGGTCTCAGTAGCGCATTACAAACATATCTTCTAATACCAAAGTGGTTTTTAGACGGCCAGATTATGTTGTGTAATGTTACCGATTTTACTTTAGCTATTAATTTTTAGGTTTCTACCAGTAATGAAATTGCATATGTAGCATATGCACTAATAGAGAGGCTTAGGACAGAGATAGAAGGTGTCTTTTAGAAAGTATAACTAACATAGCAAAGATAAGAAACCAGAAACACTGAGGTTACGCGTCAATGGCTATCTTTGACTCCTGGGCGGCATGCTTTTGGGCTCAGTTATATGCAAGGCTGTGCTGAAAAGCTCACAAAAAATAGGAAGGCTTGGGCAGTGCCTGTGGCTCAAAGAAGTAGGGTGCTGGCCCCATATGCCAGAGGTGGTGGGTTCAAACTCAGCCCTGGCTAAAAACTGCAAAAAAATAGGAAGCCTCCCTCAAATGCATGCTTGTGTGAATTTGGTAATTAGTGGTATGATGTAGCAAGCTACTTAGACAAAAGGGTGATATTTTGCATGAGTCCTGCTCTCAGAGTGCAGATGAAAGATGTACATATTAACAGAGCCTCAAATTCCCTGGACCAGGCACACTGTAACATTGTAATAGGCCTCAAAACTCTAATACCCTAGCCCTGTGACCCCACTGGCCTACTACTGCAACCCCAGATTCACCGTGCTCCCAAAGCCAGCTGAAAACTTTTCCCGGACAGTCATCTGTTCCAAGGCAGGTCCCACTGTGTGAATCTTTGAGCGAATGACTGTCCTTGTACAAATCACGCCGCAGTTGCCCAGTTCCCCTTTAATCATTGGTGACGACGGGACTCACTGTAAACCCTGCATTATGCAGCACTGCTCTGGCAGGAAGGCTCAGCTTCTTAATCTGTCCTCATTTGGAGCTGTAGGTTCAGGGATGGCACAGAAGAGACTAGTGACGGGGTACAAGAAGTCCATCTTCCCTGTTTGGACCAGTTTAAAAAAAAAAAAAAAGTACAACTGCTGCAAAGTCAATCTTCCTCGGGAAGACAGGCATCTCTGATGTCTTTTACATCAAATTTTGAAAACTCAGCATAAAAAAGTGGCCACCCAAATGAAAAGCCGCAGAAAGAGGGATGATATTTACACACTGCCAGCAAACTCATCTCCTTCTGAGAATCCAGTGGTAGTTTCCAACTTCCGTCCTCTGTTACCTGTGTTATGAGACGGTCTGACATATTTTCTTTTTTGCTGAGCTGACCTTTCATCTATAATCTGCCAACCTTTATGTTTTATATGAAAAGTGTAAGCAGGGCAGCTGACAAATCTCCTGTTACTTGATGGCATTTTCGTGGTTTTTTTTTTTTTTCCAGACTAGATTAATTTGGAAGGCTCTGCAGTCAAGCTCCAAACTTCTTAGTATTCAAATAGCATCGCTTAAAAATTGTCAGACAAAGAGGTGCCTGCCTTTATCCATTTTATTCAAATCAGGCCATCGAAGCCGACCTGCTCCTGTAAAAATCCAAGGCCATAGACAGTGACTCTAACCAGAAAAAAATCCTTGCACTGAATGACCTAAAGAACTCCACCAAGCAGCCTGTCCCATCTTTCCCAAGGCATGGTGTATGTGGTAGTCATGATAGACAAAATTATTTTAGGTGGCACCTTTGACGAAACATCAAGTAGTTCTATATATTTTTTAAAACTACATATTTGGACAAATACAACAGTGTAAGTAATGATATATAGTTTTTCTATTTTTATATATAAAATGAGAGGTGATTTAAAGAAAACTATCGAGCAAATAACCGAAGTAATTCCCAGGTACAGTGATGAGGGTAGCAAGTAAATGAATGCAATGAGGGAAACTGGCCCATCAGCTACGGTTAAATCTACAGACTGTAAGAAAGACCATAAGCTGTCAGTCTGAGTCAGTATCTGACACTCTTTTGATCCTGTATCTTCTGTGCTTAGTGGTATCACATAATAGATACTCACGCATAAAAGTCAAGTGGTTCCTCACTGCTACATGATAATTCCAACTTCCCCAGACTCTTGCCATCCAAAGCAGCTACACCCCCCAGTTTTTTCAGGTTCCTGTCTCTTTAGCTCCCAGGTTCCATCTGACCCCCTAACTGGATACACAGTCTGTTCTCTAACCACATGGATAAAGTGAGAGAGAAAAATCTCTTCATTTCTTTAACTTTCCAATCAGCCCATCTGTTTGCATCTTCTCATCTTTCTAATCCAGATTGAGCATCCTCTATCTGAAATACTTGGGACCAGAAGAGTTTTGGATTTTGGATTTTTCTTTTTAAGATGTTGGAATTTGCATTATACCAGCTTAACATTCCTAACCCCCAAATCCAATACCTGAAAGGCTCCAACGACCATTTCCTTTGAGTACGACATGTCAGTGCTCAAAGATGTTTTCGATTTTTGAGCATCTCAGATTTTTGATTTTCTGATGCAGGACTCTCAAAGCGTAATCGGTCTCTTAATCTCACTCCTCCCACTCCCACAAGCACCTTCAATTCCAGACATCTCCTCTCCTTGCTATTTTCTGTGTATACATTGTGCCTTTCTATACATACACTGAATCCTTCTTAGTGAGTTTATGTTGACCTGCCACCCACAAAGCAAAAACAAGCACCTCTTGCCCCCCACCCCCACACGCCCCACACGTGACCTTTAACATTCCTTGACCTTGTGTCTTCCTTGGGACGCTTTTTCCTTTCACTTCTAAACTTCTGTCTGGAAGGAGAATTCCAGAAGCTTGCCAAATTCTGCCTACAGGTGTCTTATGTTTAGCTCTTAACTAATTTTTTTTTTTAATTGAACTACCAGAAGATACCAAACAAAAATGTCTGCACTTACCGCTACTTGGGAAAAATCAAAATATCCAGGCAATACTGATCTCCATTCTATTTCCCCACTCTTATTTCTTCTCCTACCTGGCCACTTATCACATTAGTTTTGCCTTATAGGCCATTATATCCTTAGATTTAACAACTTATAGACAAATGGTTATTCAAAGTGTATCCAACCAATGCCATCTGGTTTCCACTTCTATTCTCTTGCAAAAGCTTTCTGAATGGCCAAAGTCAAGGCTTGTTCTCTGCTGACCACGCCACAGTGACGCAGTGACGTCGCGACGTCACGTCTGCACGACTGACGCTGCACGCTCCCGGTTCTCCTCCTCTCCCCCTGCTGTTGCCCTGCCTCCCTCTTCTCTCTCAGCTTCGTTTGCACCCCATCTCATCAGCAGCTGACTCTATCATACGCTTCTTCATCTGCACTTCTACAGGTGATGTTCCGTACTTTTTTACTGTACTTCGCACATTTCTATTCTTCATGATTTAATTTTAAAATTATTACAATTTAAACTGTGAAGGCGGCATGGGGTTAAGAGCAAGGACTCTGCAGGCTCTGCCACACGTTAGCTGTATGACCTTAGACACGTGCTTTGACCTCTAAAGTACACTAACAAAATGGAGAAATAGCAGCACCTACCCTGCCAGTAAGGTAGAGAAAGATAAAATGAGATAAAGCTCCAAAGGACATGCATGGTATACAGTCATCAGTTAGTGCATGTTAACTATTATTACTCCATTTTTTAGTTTGGTTTTCATGTGTAACCTGTCTCCCCTTAGACCTGAAGACATGGATTATGCCTTGCAATTCCTGGTGTGACCCAAAGTACCCCCAGTTCAGTATGTCCCAAAGTACCCAGCAGCTACACAATTCATATTTGTTGAATAAGTGAAGGAATGAACGACCCTCTAAAAGA